AGCCGACCGTTCACAGTGGGAGAGCTGCTCGACAGGCTACGTCGAGCTGCAGGGAACTGCTGTGGTATTGCTGTCGACCAGGGAGCTCGACAGCTGCAACTGACTGGCCTGGGCGACGGGTGGGCCGTCCGGGAGGTCGACGGAGCAGTCCGTCGACCTGCAGTTCGACCAGAGGGTCGATGGAGCGGTCCGTCGACCTACAGTTCGACGGGGAGGACTGCGTAGCATCGCGTCGACCTGCAGCTCGACCGGGAGGTCCGCGAAGCATCCCGTCGACCTGCAGCTCGACCGGGAGGCCCGTGAAGCATCCCGTTGACCTGCAGCTCGACCGGGAGGTCGACGGAGCAGTTCTGGTCGACAGAAGGGTCTGTCGACCAGGGGGTAGCTCGACGGGAGCTGTGGTCGACCAGGGGCACCTGGTGGTCGACCAGAGGGAGCTGTGGTCGACCAGAGGCACCTGGTGGTCGACCAGAGCACCTGATGGTGTCCAGGTCGACCGGGTAACCTGCTCGACGAGTTCTGCGGAGGCACGCGAACGTCGTCGAGATCGCGATGACGAAGGCGACTTCGGAATGGTATCCCGAAGTCGATGTGGCTCGTCAGGCGCAGACAACAGCCGACGGATGCCCAACGAGGCTGTCTTCTACGGGGCAACGCAGGACAGCCGCTTATGTTCTAGCCTGTAGTCGGGTGCTCTATAGCGAGTACAACCCTTCTAGGGTTTGCTATTTGTATCCCCATTCTTGCTAGTGCAAACTCTCCTTTGCTCGTTTCTCTCTTGCCTAGCTAGGGTTTACCTAGCTATGGCTCCTACTTGTGCCTACTATTTTGACATGCTATCAGAGCAGTTACGCTCCTGGCCTGTGGGCCCGCCTGCTTCCGCTGCCTTCCTGTGTGTCGCGCGTCCCGTGGCGCGCGATGTTCGTTTTTTTTTTCTTCCCGCCGCACGCTCGGGGCGCGCGGCGGTTTTCTGCCCGCCGTGCGCCCCGAGGCGCGCGGCGGTTTCCCACCGTCGAAGCGCCCCCCGTCGCCCGTCGAAGCGCTCCCCCCCGTCGCCCGTCGAAGCGCCCCCGTCGCCCGTCGAAGCGCCCCCCGTCGCCCGTCGAAACGCCCCCGTCGCCCGTCGAAGCGCCCCTGGGACCCGCGCGCGGCCCGTACGGGCTGCGCCAGGCCTGCGCGCGGCCCGTACGGGCTGCGCCAGGCCCGCGCGCGGCCCGTACGGCCTGCGCCAGGCCCGCGCGCGGCCCGTACGGGCTGCGCCAGGCCCGCGCGCGGCCCGGGCAGCCCGCGCGCGCCTCGTCCGGCCTGCGGCAGGCCCGTGCGCGCGCCTCGTCCGTCCCCCGAGCTTCTGCCGGCGCCCCACCCCCGCTACTGCCCGCGTTCCTGTGTTAGGGTTTGGGGGTGGAGGGTATGGGGGTGCCGTGAGTGTGAGCCGTCCCCTGCTCCTCCTCCTCCTCCGTCTCCCACTGCTGCAGCTGCCGCTGAGGGGGGTGGGTGTGTGGGGAGCCGAAGGAGTGGTGCTAGGGGGGTGACGTGGGAGTGGAGTTAGGGGTTGCAGCAGGGGGTGTGTGTTGGGGGGTGTGGGACAGTTGGAGGAGGTTGGGTGGAGGCAGCCGTCGTGTCGTCTGCAGCGCCTGTATTCCGGGGTTCTAATAGCCACCGGTAGCTCAGAGAGCCGGTTGCACCTGTCGCCCGTGGGTCCGTTGCTCCTGTCGCTGCTGATCAGACGCAGAGCCTGTTACTCCTGTATTCCGGGGCCCTTGCTCCCGGTAGCCACTAGAGCTGCACCAGAGCCGTCTGTTGCCCGTGTGTCTGCAGCTTCAGTCGTCGCCTCCACTCCTCTCTCCCCTCGCCAGCCCTCCTCCTCCTCACTTGCCCTCTGTGACTACCTCTAGCTTTGCTCATAATTGTGAACTTTAAACTATTGCTTCTTGAACTTGTGCTCAGAATGTGTGGTGACATTGTGATCCACCCTGAGCTTGTACTGCTTTGCTTGCTCTGCTGATTACACCCCACTTTGGCTATGGGGGTGTGTCAGAATATTATGTTCTAGCCTGTAGTGGGGTGCTCTATAGCGAGTACAACCCTTCTAGGGTTTGCTATTTGTATCCCCATTCTTGCTAGTGCAAACTCTCCTTTGCTCGTTTCTCTCTTGCCTAGCTAGGGTTTACCTAGCTATGGCTCCTACTTGTGCCTACTATTTTGACACCGCTCTGCTGCAGCGTTGGCACGCCGTCGACCTGCGATGCTGGCAGGTCGCTCTTCTGCAGTGCTGGCGCGGCTCCTCTACGCAACGCTGGCAGGCGGTCGACCAAGCTGTGCTGGCAGTCGACCAGGCTAGCTGCAGAGTTGCTAGGTGCCTGATGTAGTCAGTGAAACTCTTGCCAATCTCTCCCGTGAATGCGCAAGTGCTAAGGAACCAAGCAAAGCTACGATCACTCCTAGTAGTTCGTGCCAACCCCCGTAGTCTAGATCACCATCGTTGTAGAGAGAATCTCCTGATCGACGACGTCGATGGGCATTGCTAGAGCACGATAGTGGTCGACGGGGCCCTTCGATGGGCACTGCTCGACGTGTGTTGCTCGACGAGCTGGCCTCGGCGAACGTTGTTCGACCAAGCAGCGTCGAGCCATGCGATGAAAGTTACTCGACTGCAATACCTGGCTTCTGAACGAAAGTCGCCCAGTAGGTCTTAGAAAAGCCGACCTGCGGAACATCATCACTTGCTCTATGGTGCACGAGTAGCGAAATCGTCGACACATGTTCTACCTCCCATCTGCGCTATGTGTCTGGCGGTGCGACCGTCGACCTGCACCTCCTTCGTATACTACCGTATCATATTGTTGTTATTTGTTCTAATTCAGGCCTGGGTATTCAATGATTTTCAGTAAAAGTATCAAGCTGACAAATGTGCAGCCGAGAGCATAACCCAACGTCAATGGAGATGTTTACAATTATTGAAACAACGATACGAATGATTTTTTTTTTTCAATTCTGAAGCATTAATAATATTAATGTTGGTGATAGAGCTATTAATAAGAATTTTAGGGATTACCCTTGTTTCTCAAGGCCTCCTATTCCTTATCAAGTTTGCCCATTGCATTTTATTTTTTATTTGTTTTACGCTTTTACTTCAGTTGCAGCTGTGCTCTGTATCAAACTGCTCTGTGGCGCGTTACTGCCACAATTTCTCGGTAGCACTTTCCGTCGACTTCAGACGGAAATCGTCGACTGAGGCGGATTTCCTCGACGGACGTGGGGGAGCAGCTGGCGTCATCGCCAGCTCGAGCGGGGACCACTCCGAGCTGGCGGGGCTCGTTCTGGGCGGGCTGAGGGGTCGGCTCCCGCCCCTCGCGTGCCCCGCTACGCGACTGCGGGAAAACGGAAATCCCTCCGAGGAAAACCCGCAGGGGCAAAGTGGGTTTCTCGGAGGGATTCGGGCGAGGTCTTCCCAGCGTTTCTGGCGCTCGTTTGTTCAGATCTCAGAGCGCTTCAGGACATCCTTCGTTTGGTCATTTTGGGTCAGATTCGACGACTTCGCCTGGCACTGTAACAATCGCCAACGGGCCAAATCTGGCCGTACGAACCGCGGCACAAAATTCATGAGCAGAAGTTCCAACCATCGTCCGCACGATGGCGACGTCGCAGAACCGATGACGAATCCTGTCGCGAAGAGTAACAAATAATGTACCACATTGAGTGCGGAAAGAAGCCCTGGTTCGAACCTGTCATTTTCCAAATGTTCCACGCCCTTACAATTTTATTTTGAGCCCATTGAATCTTGGGCTGAGACACACTCACATCTCTTGAACATGCCGATTTTAGACTGCACTACTGTTGACTCTCGATTTACGGTAGTCATGAATGTTGGTCATCGGCAGTGGAAGGAGAATATTAGAATAGTGCTGAGCAGTGGCGGACTAGCATACGTGTCACCTCAACGGCTCGGGCATGGTTTACAAGATTAGCTGACGCGGTGCTTACAGCACCAGCTGAACTGGTGCAACGCGAATCCGACGAACGGATCAAGTATGTCTGACTAGTGGAACACTGAAACCCGGTCTGTTTCACAAGTTCTTGTTCCTGACATTCCAAAGGTGTCGCTTAGTCATCGATAATGTAGCTCAGTCTGATCCGTCAAACTCCTGATTCACATACAAGGCGCGTCATCAGCAGGCGGAAAACGGTGTGAGGAAGGAGAAAGAAGTCTGCCTCTGCGAATGAGACGCCTCCGCTCCATCCTAGGGTTCTTGACGACGTGGTGTATCTATTCCGTGAATTAAGTGTAACAAGCAAAGCTAGAAACGTCGGGTACGACCGCCAAAATGCCTTCTGTGAGGAGTGTACAGGGGGGCACGTCAGGTGGCGATGAAACGGGTGGGAAGGCCCCATTGAATGTGCCTCCTGCCGCATCTGCCGCTGCGAGTGTGCCTCTGTCCGCGACTTGGGTTGCGGAGGAAAGTACGCTTACCCACGAGGAGTTGCAGTGGGACTGGACACACCTATTCAGTATGATGGAGCAGTGGCTTCGCCACGGAAACGAGGGCGAACAAGGGACGGCAGCGCGGCGACAAAGGGCCGGCAGGAAAGCAGGGGCTCACGCAGCATCGGAGCAGCGGCGTCAGCTGCTGTCGCGGGCAGACATGGTTCATTACATGGACGTGCGACGCGCGTGGGATCGGCAGGAGTGCGAGTGCTGCTTCGACCGCGCAGTGAGCTACCGCGCAGTGGGATCGGCAGGAGTCTGCTCGGTGACCGAGCAGAGCGCGCGCTTGGCATAGTCCGCCTGGCAGAGTTCCGTTCCGACCTTCGGGACCAGCTGCCCAGCTCCATCCCCCTTGCTCCCCAGGATGACTTTTGAGTCGACTCAAAAGTCGCTTGGCATAGTCCGCCTGGCAGAGTTTCGTTCCGACCTACGGGACCAGCTACCCAGCTCCATCCCCCTTGCGCCCCAGGATCTTGCATCCAGGGCCATTGTTGAGTATTCCGCACGAGTGCCCATGAAGGCTCTGGAGCCTCTAGAGGGTGGGCCGGCCCAGCAGTTGTTCGGCTTTAAGTCTGCTGTGGCGCCGATTCGCTGTGCTGAGGCGATGATTCTCGAGTGGATGGCTGAGCCTCGTGTGGGCGTGCTCATGGACCTGGGGAGGATCAGATCCCGCCTGTCTGCCATTCTGGCCGCTACAGGTGCTCCTACAGCTGCTGCTACAGCTGCTGCTAGAGCTGCTGCTGCAGCTGCTGCTACAGCTGCTGCTGCAGCTGCTGCTACAGCTGCTGGTACAGCTGCTGCTACAGCTGCTGCTACAACAGCTGCTACAGGTGCTGTTACAGGTGCTGCACCTGCGCCTGCAGCAACAGCTGCTGCCGCTGCTGTTGCTAGTGGAACATGGGCGAGTCGCTGGGCAGCCTACCGGCGAGCGGTCAGCTTCGCAGCCTTCCTCGTGCTTGTAGCGAGGTTCCCGCGCGTTGTGAACCTAAAGAAGGCGTCCATGTCTCGGGAAACGGCAGCTTATTTGGCTATCGTGGCGGAGTTGGGGGCGGGCAGGCAGATTAAGAACGATTGCTTTGCTTCCGTGCTGGTGCAGGTGCTCGGGGTGAAGGAGAGTGCTGAGCTGCAGGAAGGGTTTGGGTTTTTCGTGCAGCATCTGCTCTCAGGCGGGCTGGAGGAGGCGCATGCAAAGGGGCGAGGGGGAGCGGGGGGAAAGGGTGCTGAGAATGCGCAGGGGGAGGAGAAAGGGGGGACCGGGAGGAAGGCTGCTGAGGAGGCGCAGGGAGAGGAGGGACGGGCGGATGGCGAGGTGGTGGAGAGGGGTGGGGGCATGGAAAAGGAGGAGGAACTGCTGAGTGCTCTGGCAGGGTTGGATATCACACAGGGTGATTCTGGTGCGGGGAGAGACGGAGGGGAACCGAAGCATAGCAGCGAGGCGAGCGGAGGGGAAGAGAGACGCAGCAGCGAGGCGAGCAGAGGGGAACAGAGGCGCAGCAGCGAGACGGCTAATGGGACTGTTGAGGGGCGAGGCAGAGGGGGGAAGAATGGGCATTGGAGGGAGAATCTGAAGGGAGACGTGTGGGAGAGGTATGTGGATGGCATGGCTTGGATTCTGGAGCATGGAGTGGGGGAAGGGAGGGAGTTTAGCTGCAGCCACTGCAGTGAGGGGGGCAGCAACAATAGTGGTGATGGGCAGGTGGACGGTATTCCCAAGGGCATGTATGTGAGTGGCGTGGGTGGGCGCCACTGATTTCGCCCTTGCGTTTGCCTCAGAGCTGTCAAATCCAGAGAGCTGTGCTGAGGCGTGTATGTACATATTCGATGGGAACAATGCCAATAAGATGAGGGTGGAAGAGGCTGCGATTGAGGAGGCTAGAAGGAGACTGAGAGGAGGGGTGGGTGGAAAAGTGAGAGTGTGGGGTTCAGGAGGAACTGGAGGAGAGGGGACAGCATCAGACACGAGTGGGGCTGGAGCAGACACGAGTGGGGCTGGAGCAGATACGAGTGGGGCTGGAGCAGATACGAGTGGGGCTGGAGCAGACACGAGTGGGGCTGGAGCAGATACTAGTGGGGCTGGAGCAGACACGAGTGGGACATCAGCAAGCACCAGTGGCAGTGGAGCAGCAGCTAACACGACTGGGGGAGCAGCAGACACAAGCAGGGCAGCAAAATCATCGGCAGTGTGGGATGCGTCTGCTGCCAGTGCTGCTGCTTTAGCTGAAACCCGGCCTTCTTCTAGAAGAGCAGATGGCACTTGCGCCAGCTACAGTGCTGGTCTCGTGCCTGTAAACGCAAGTTCTGTCCTCGCAGCCTTCACATACCGAGTCGCCCGCATCTTACACTGGGTCCGAATCTACGGCTCAGATGTTGTCTTCGTGAGAAGATGCTTCAGGAGTAAGCCACAGGACAGGATCCTGCAAATGCCCCATCCGTTTCGAGGCCTCCCGAGCCTGCTGCTCCGGCTCGGCGCCATCCCCAAGCCTCTTGATGACGCTGATTTCCCTACGGAGTGGGAGGAATGGCCACAGGGGGATGAAGCTGCTGCGAAGCTTCCCCATGATCGTGAAGCGAGATTCTTCCAGCTGGGTATTGTGGAGGAGAGTGCGACGGGGGTGGGGAGTACTCAGGGGTGCGACAGGGTAACAGAGCAAACATCAAAGTCTGGGAGGAAGCACACAAGAGGGAAGGGGCGAAGAGGCAAAGCATCCACCCAAGGAAGTGGCATCAGAGGCGGTGATACAAACAGAGGGTTTGGCGAAGACCAAAGGGGGGGGTTCTCAAACCCATCCGGCACGGCTGCTGTTGCACAGTTGCCTCCGGGATGGACCCTCCCCATCGTCCGCTGTGTGGCAGATGCAGAGTTTCTAGTTGAAGCGGTGAGCGTGATTGTGAGTCCACCGGCATGTGCCTACTGCATCCACTGCTACCGCGGCTATACGTGCACCATCCCAACCATTGCCCTCATTGCCAAATACTCCTACCGCCCCCTGCACGTCCTATTCAACCGCTTTCTATCGGTCTTCCCGCCGCACTCCGCTGGGTTTGACACGCTTGTGGATCTCATTGGGTTGTCGCCGCTTCCCCCCGGCCCGCCTGGGCTTGTCAATCTGGCGAGGATGCGTGGTGAGGTAGAGGAGCAGGGGGTGGCGTTCCTGCTGCTCGTTGCGCTCATGTGGCCTGCTTCCCTTCTCGATATGGAGCAGTTTGACGGATAACGGTTGCTGGAGGGGGACGGGGTTCGAGTGAAGAAGGGGGTGAAGACGGGAGGAAGAAAGGGAAAGCTAGGGGAGGGGTGGGAAAAGGAGGGGAGAAGGTAGCGGAGGCGGAGGAGGGGGAGGAGGAGGAGGATGATGGAGAGGTGTGGGAGGAGTTGCAGTCGTGGTGCTTTGCTGCGATGGTTGCGTGGCCGTCCAGCATGCGTGTCACATTGAGCGATCCTGGTATTGACTTGGCCAGTACAGGGCTGAGTGATGTTTGTACTGCCAGTGAGGGGCGGCAGAAGAAGGAAGACGTGAAGACGAGGATTGCTAAGATGTTCAAGACTGGTGCGGTTAAGAGGATTAGAGAAAGGGTGCAAGGCCGGGGTGGTGTTGCGGAGAGAAGCAGCAGCAGCAGCGGTGGCAGTGACGTGGTGACGGGGAGTAGCACTGCTAGTGCTGGCAGCGTTAGCGGAGGTAGCAGTGGCAGCGGAGGTGGTGATGGTGGTGGCACTAGCAGTGATGTTGCTTTTGTTGGTGATGGTGCTGATGGAGTCGGTGGTGCTGATCCTGGTGATAGAGATGGTGGTGGTGCTGGTGGTACTGGTTGTTGTGATGGTGATGGTGCTGGTGGTATTGGTGCTGGTGCTGGTGCTGGTGCTGGTGCTGGTGCTGGTGCTGGTGCTGGTGCTGGTGCTGGTGCTGGTGCTGGTGCTGGTGCTGGTGCTGGTGCTGGTGCTGGTGCTGGTGCTGGTGCTGGTGCTGGTGCTGGTGCTGGTATTGATGCTGGCAAGTGCGTTGGGGGAAAGGGCAAGAAAGCGGAGGTGCCGGGCTATTTGAAGGCATGGCCAGGAGGAGTCAATCTGGTGGCGTGTCTGCGAGAGATGCTGCTGGGGGAGCCGTGCTACCGCCCTCTCTCCCCTGCTGCCCCTTCCCTCCCTCCTGCTGCTGCAGCGCCAAGCACTGCTGCTCCCGCCTCTTCCACCCCTGCTGCTACAACAAATGTTGTTGCTCTAGTCGCTGCTGCCTCGTCTACCCACCCATCTGTGCACACCCTTGCTACCACGTCAAACTATGATGCCTCTTCCGTTCCTCCTGCTGCTGCAGCGCCAAGCACAGCTGTTTCCACCTCTACCACTCCTGCTGTAACTGCTGCTGCTGCCCCAACAAATGTTGTTGCTCCATTCACTGCTGCCTCGTATACCCACCCACCTGTACACACCCTTGCTACCATGCCAACCTATGATGCCTCTTCCACCCATGTCAACCCAACTACAAGTGCTGGGTCAGGCACTGCAGTTGCAGGTGCACCCGTTGCAGATGAAGGGGCATGTGGTCTTGGTGTTTGCAGAGAGAGGAAGTGTGGTGCTGTGGGGTGTGGGAGGGTGGAGGGTGGTGGTGGGAAGCTGAGGAGGTGCGGTGGATGTAGCAAGGTGGCGTATTGCAGCAGAGAGTGCCAAAAGGCGCACTGGCCCTCCCACAAGCTCGCGTGCCCCGGCAGGACCAGTAGCAAGAAGAGTGGGGAAGATGGAAGGAGGGATGCTGGCAGAACCAATGGCCCGGATGGTGGCAACGACAATGGCAACGGGAGTGGCTAGGGGAGTAGCGAGGTGAGTGGGAAGGCGAATGGCAAGCTGAATGGGAGGGCGAGTGGCAAGGTGAATGGTAATGTGAGTGGCAAGGTGAATGGTAAGGTGAGTAGGAATGTAAGAAGGAAATGTAAGGGTGTAACAAGGATCGTGTACTGGAAGTTGCACAGGGGTACGGTTTGGTTCTGAAACATCCTTTTTGTTGGAGTATGGCTGCACAAATCTTTGTGTTTGTGTCTTGTTTCTCATGCGACTTGTGTCGCAAATTGTGGGGTTGCTACATACTGTTATGGTTCATAGTATTTGCTTATAGGCCCATAGGATTTGCTTATACCCTCCTCTCTCTGCCACTTTTTCCCCTTCCCTGCAAGTTCCCCATCCATTCTCCAGCCTCAGTCGTTTCTTTCCCTTTTCACAAGCTCACCCACTTTCTTGGTTTGCGCAGGGCTAAGCTGACACGACACACCCAGTTTAACCTTCATGCCGGTACTTCACATTCTTATGGATTTCAAGTAATTCGCTTGGTGTGTTATTCGTTGTGGAACAAGTTGGGAGACTACCTTTTAGCCTAACACTAGCTAAACCTTCATGGTCCTTTCTGTGTAAATTGTATGGAATGGATTAGGTACGGAATTATGAAAACGTCAGCCATGTTTTGTCTTAGATTGAATGTTCAGTTCAGGCATATTGATGATGGGATTGATGTTGGTGTGGTTGGTAATGTATGTGCAAGCATGACGACTTGGGGAACGAGCGAGTGGTTGGTCGTTTCTATCTCACCTGTGATATCAGATAATCCCAGATTGCGGGTTTGCTGCCGCAGAAGGGGAACATGGGCACTTGCGACAGAGCATTAGATAAGGGGCTGTAGCATGCTCGCAGACCTCAGCAATGTTGCAGATGTAAGGAAATGTTGAGGCCGTAGTGTAATTCTATCAACCACTTTGAACCGCTACTCACATGCCGGAACGGTGTACCGTGAGGGCGTGATACATTTCAGGTCAGGAGCCGTTCGATTCTGGAACGTCCGAACAAATGGTGGTAATTTGTTCTTGATCCATGTGCATATGTAACACACTGGTTAAGACGAACGTCAGGACCTGCCCAAGCCCTATTAAACTCAGGGAAGTCGACCATTTTTTCGCATTAATCACATGCGACCACGTTCACGAAGTTAACGCCAAATTTCGCATTTCGCAAATCTCGCCGATCTTTTGTTCTCAGCGCCCCGCGTGTCAAATAGCGATTTGGGAACCAGTCACCTACAAATGCTCGCCAGATTCGACGATTATGAATATGGCTCCGATCGAGGGTGGACAAACAACCGCCTGGAACATGTTACTAGGTAGCCTTGACTACCGTGTTTATGCTAATCCTGATCACGCTGTTTTCCGACATGAGATGTACCGCGCCCTGAAAAAAACAAGATATATGGCGTGTCCTGATTGTCTTTCCGTGCTCGGCGATCGCTAGCATCCTATTGGCACATACCTTGGGTACTATGGCCGTCACAAGCCGAATACGGTTTCCTAGACTCCAGAACTCCGCTACCGCGCTCGCGATTCTATCCCCGCGATGGGCCGCATCCGATATTGTTTCAAGCGACCAATTCTTTTCCGCGTCGGCGTCGCCAGCTGCTGACCAGTCACCAAGATCGACGGCTGCCGTGGATCCGTCAGTAGAATCCCCGGCCGCGGCGGCGGAGGAGGCGGGAGGCTGGCGAAGCCACGCGGAGGCGTGTAGTCGATCGCTCCGGCTGCACGTAGCGCCGGCGAAAAAGAACCTTCTGGGAGTTTTCCAAGAGTGCCAGACGGCGGAGGAGGCCGAAGCTTCCTTGCAGATGCTGGCTCGAACGAGGCTTGAGGTGCGCGGGAACGAGGCTTGAGGTGCGCGGGAACGAGGCTTGAGGTGCGCGGGGACAAGACTTGAGGTGCGCGGGGCTTGCGGTGCGCGGGGACGAGGGGGAAGGAGTGAGCGCTTGTGGAGCAAAGAGGGGGGAAAGAGGTGACGTTCGAGTTGACTCAAATATCGCCTGCGCGGGAAATTGGGGACAGACGATTGAGCGGTCGTGGAACAGCGAGGGGGGAAGTAGAGCGCAGGGATTGGTGGTTCAGGCGACTATTGAATCGACACAAATGAGGGAGACTATGGGATCGATTCAAATCCCGCTCGTGGAGCAACGAGGGAGAGAAGGGAGCGCAGGGAACGTTGGTTAGGGCGAAGTGAGCCGCGCACTTCGTCATTAAAGGGAAGGAGGGAAGGGGGGAGGCGGGAGGAAGGTTGGAAAGGGTGGGATGATGGGGGGACAAGGGGGAGATGGGAGAAGATGAGTGGACTATGCAGAAGCTGACAGGTTCTTCATGGTTTCGTGTATTCCCGCCGTCCTTTGACCATCTGTCCGCTCCCTATACCAGCACATCCCTATCTATCGCTACACATTGCTACAGAACACAGTGTATTGCAAGAGACGGTGAACTTCGTGTATTGAAACGTCTCAAAATGTGCCTACATATCTGATGTTCCGATGCGTACACATCCCTACCTATCGCCACGCATTGTTACAGAACGCAGCATATCGTAAGCAGACGGCGAACTTCAACGACGAGGTGTCGCTGGCTGTCGTGAGAGCATGCATCCGCGCAGGCGTGCCGCAGAAAGGTGAGAGTTCAAGTTACAGGCTTTCAAGTTACGGGCTTTCATTTCACGAGCTCCAAACAGCGCAAGCTTCAAACCTAGGTGCTTCAAATCCACGAGCCTAAGATTTACGAGCTTTGAATCCCACAACATGCTTTACTTGCATGCTGAACCTGCACTTTTCCTTCTTTTCTGCACCTGCCTATGGTGCTTGCGTTGACTCAAGTTTGAGTCATCCTTTTTGCTGTCACGGCATGGGTTGTGGAGCAATCTTTTTCCTTCTTCACTCCTTCCTTCACCATCTGGCAGCTTTGGTTGCCATTTCGCCAACCAATCCGTTTGGCTTGACGCCGTTGCTGGGAGCTGCACATCTGATCATGGTATGCGTCCCAGCCATTGTGGCGTCCAGCCCATCGAGATTGCAAATGAATTATAAAGTCAAACTTTTGAGTCAACTCAAAAGTCAACTGAGCTGCACTTCTGATTATGCTAAACGTCCAGCCAATCGAGATTGCACAAGGATACTCAAGTCAAATTTACCATACAAAGGCATACCATCAAATCTCCAAGGGCTCATCCCACACAAGTGTTTGATGTCCATACAAAAGTTGTGAAGGCCTATTCTCCATGACTTGTCTCCGCTGCAGAAACATGCTGCGTCAGCCAAGGATAAATCTCTCCTGCTGTCGGCTTGTAGTCGAATGGGGAAGGCAAAAATCCATCCAACACCCACCACCGCAGATATTGTCATCAGGTATATCCATCATCCTATCCAATATTTTGTTGTAGTAAACT